CTATATGAGAGAAACCCCCCCCTGAGAGAGCAAACAAACCATACAGCCCCTCCCTGCCCCCCCCCGCCAAAAAAGAGATATGTGTGTGTGGGTTTGGCTTTGGTGACATTTGGGGGCAATTTTAAGACAAAAATCCTACATTTGGGGACAAAAGTCGAGTCCCCATTTGGTTTAAATACCATTGGTGGGTTGGGGGTTGGGTTTAGGACCAAGGTGTGAATTGAGTTTAGGTTAGTTTTAGGGTCAGGTAGGTATCTGTGAGGTTAGCCTTAGGGTTTGTAGTCAGGGTTAGGCTGTAGAAATGTAATGGAAGTCAATGGAATGTCCCCAATTGGATAGCTGTGCAAACTTGTGTGTGTGTGTGTGTGTGTGTGTGGCCTTGTTTTTCCTACATTGTGGGGCCCATATATAAGGAAAATGCAGCATCCTGGGGACCAGGTGCTATTTGAGGCTGATTTTGGGTGTGGGGTTTGGATTTAGAACCAAGGTGTGAATTGAGTTTAGGTTAGTTTTAGGGTCAGGTAGGTATCTGTGAGGTTAGGGTTAGGGTTGGTGGTCAGGGTTAGGATATAAAATTACCAAAAAAATGAAGTCAATGGATGGGCCCCACAAGGACATAAAAACAAGTTTGTGTGTGAGCGTGTGTATGTGTGTGTGTGTGTGTGTGTGTGAGTGAGTACTCTGCCCGCCCCCCCGCCCAGCGTCAATGCATACATTTAAAAGAGTATGCCTGAGCAAGAGAACGATGAGGGCACTGTGCTGCCAAAGACAAATGTTTATTCAATTGATTTCTGGGACAAACAGCTCTGACACTGTAGCAGGATCTGTCACTCTTCCCCTGTGGTGACAGGAACTGGCTCTACAGGGACAGATTCAGATTAACACATTCACGTGGAATTAGCACTTTGTTTCCAGCTAACAACAAGTAAGCTACTAAAAATATAAAATAAAAATATTTTTTAAGCTTGCACACAAATTTGTTTTCTTCTGTTAATGTTTTTTTATGATTATTAACGTTGTAAAAAATCAAAATTAAAGTGTCATGGGATTTCTTTAAAAATAGTATTTCATGTCAAGCCAAAGGTTTGAGAGGAACTGAATTCAAAAACCATGATGTGCTTTTGAAAAATTGTTATTTTAAGGCCATTAAAGAGATCTCCTGACCATTTTGAAGTGGGGCTCTATAAAATCTTAGAAAATAAATATCTTAGCTGTTTGCCCTTTGAACAACCTCCGTTTAGAGAATGTGCTCGATAATTTGAAAAGCAAGTGAGGTATCAACCTTTTTTTGGTTTGTGGCTGCATCTAGGCTTAAGAAAGGTTCTCTATGAAAAGTGGGTTGCCACATCAAAATCTAAGATGGTTGCCACTACATTAAGAGGTAAACCTTGTGAGCAGGATAACTGGAAAAATAAGCAATTGGCTAACTTCCATTTTGATATATTGCTGCATCAAGGCATTAGAAAGGTCTATAGAAAATTGGGTGGTTATACAGGAACATCTGAGTATGAGCTGGAGGTCCCAGAGTCAAAGTGGAAGACACCACCAAGGGCTAAAATACTGTGGGACCTCCAGATCCAGACTGACAAACAGGTGATGGCTAACCAACCAGWCAATGTAGTGGTCGCCAAGCAACAAATAAGGCAGTGGTGATAGATGAAGCCATCCCAAGTGACTAGAGCTGAAAGCAGAAATACAGAAGTTACAGAGAGTCAAAGCATCAGCAGTCCCAGTAGTCATTGAAGCACTTGGTGCTGTGACCCCCAAATTGGAAGAGTGGCTTAAACAGACACCAGGAACAAACTTAGAGMTAGATCTCTGTCCACAGGAACAGTCCTAAGAACAGCTAAGCTATACTGAACAGAACTCTCAAACTCCCAGACCTCTGATAGGGGACCAGGGCAATGGTTCCAATGAAATGGAACTGCCCAAGTGGAAGAATAGGGTGAGCTACTAGTTTATGTACATGTATACACACACACATCCTTGTATTTGCATCAAACTGAGGACTTTGTATTGACTTTCATTCATTTTTGTAACTATATTTATGCCTAACCCAGACATTTTCACTAAAATGAACCATTACTGGTCTATAGTTAACACTAACCTGAACCAAAGCTTAATTTACACCATACCTCTAAACCTAACAAGTAAAGCACAGCAGAGCTGCAAATAAAAGGAGGACATTGAAGAGGTCATCACTTTACATCAAAGACCTTTGATAGTAACTATGGCGCAAATGGTCCTCACTCTGTAGTAGAAACAAGTACACACCTGACTATACTATCATGCTTTCTATTTCATGCTTGAAATAGACAGTCACCATCATATACATATACACATGTACTTATACTGTATGTACCAGTCATTTGAGTAAACTATGCTTTCTTGGTTTTATATTGCTTAAAAGTATATAGTTTCCCAGTCAAGGATGACTCTTCAGTGGGCAAGGCCWTCACTGGTTACCCTGCGCCTCTGCTACTTCATATGGTGGTAGATAAAATTACTGCTTCTGCTCGCCTGGATCCGTTTCTCTGTGTCACCTCGGAGAAGAAAAAAAATCTACCTCTGTACACAGTTACCCACTTTAATATCTTGCACCAAAAACATAAAGGTTTACTGCATGTCCTTGCAAGAAACATTTCCCTGAATCCTCTAAGAAATGTCAAAAGCTAACTTTAAAACAACAGYAATCCCCTTTGCTCAACATTCTCTTCAGACTTAAAATGTTTACAACCAGTTACATGTTAATTATTCAGATTTTCTACAGTTCCACTTCAAAATGGCAATAAATATGGCCAAAATGAAAACAAACTAAAAACATGCATTCCTTTTTACAAGAAAATTGTTCTGAATCTGGTTTAAATTGGAGCTTTTTAAGCTGAAAATTCTTATTAGACTCCAAGTAAGTGTAAAAAGGACTATAAATGTCACTCAGGATCCACTGTTTTCTGCCCTGTTAAAAGTAATATTTAAATGTTTTTGTTTGTAATGATTAAATAGGTAATATCTGTGATCAGCAAGGATAGAAACATTAAAATAAAAAAAACTGAGTTGATGAGGTAAAACATGACGTGCCCATCACTAAACATTTTTACTTACGAACATTACAACGATTTGGTTTTTTTTGCCCTGAACAGATGATGTGAGCGGCTGAGCGAGTGAGTTAAACAGAAAGGGCTGAAATGCTCTGCTGGCAGGAGAAGGCAGAGGTAATTAGTGMCCTTGTGTTCACAGCATTTGGCCAAATCTATTATGATCATTAGGAACAGGAATTGTATTAATTCTAATTAATTTTAATGGGGKTTGGTTATAGCATCTGCTCTATTAAAACCTGCAAGTGGCAAATTSTTATTGGTTTCCTTTGAGGAGAAAAACATGTCAGGATGGACACTTGTTCTGCAATTTGCTGCGTCTCAGCTCTGCTCTGTGTGAAATGATGAAGTGAGGAAATGGCAGGGAAACAGCAGGAGCTCGGCTTGTTGCAGCCTCACAGTGGATGGGGTGTGAGGCTTAATGTCCAGCTCAGCAGGACATGTTTAATGACTTTTAATGACAGCAAAGCTGGGGAAAACTGATCAGTGATCAGGCTTTTAAAAAAAAAACAGCATGTTCACGTGTCCAACAGCTGCTGTGGGGATCAAACCTGGAAACAGAACAGGATGTGTTGCACTTTCAAGTTTATTTTCTTGCTTGTTTTCATTTTAGAGGACGTTGCACTTGTTCCAATTGCTTCCACAGAACAAAAACTACAGTTAGTTTTGAATGTGTAATGCCACGTTGTTGCCAAAAACTACAAAAAGGTGCAGCTGATTTTGACTTCATTGTAAATTTTAAAGCCAACCTGCCAAGGATCTTACTGAACAMACAAGTCAAAGTCCACACAGAAATGTCAACAGATGAAGATATTCTAGACTACATAAAAAAGCGCAGCAAAAATGCTCATAATTCTGCCTAATTTCCCCACGTTCTCAATATTCAGCCACTTACATTCAAACATACAGCTTCCGTCTCATTTTCTGTCCAAGTTGCCCCGTAGTTGAGGAGGTCCCACCGCTTTGAAGCGGCTCCGATCCGCAGGAATCCCGCATCCCGCCACCTCCTCTCCATCCACCTGCTTGCTGTTGTTACGCACGGACCCGAGCATTCAGCAGCCTTGATCAGAGTTGCCTGTTCACACACTACATCTCTCAGGTCATCTTTTTTTTTTCTTTTTTGTGTTCTTTCTTTCTTGTTTTTTGAAAAAAAAATTTTTATCTCCGAGACATAGTCCAAGCTTGACACGTGAGTCCCTGACAGACCGTGATGAAACACTTAGATGAAGAGTGGGGGAGGACAAAAACAGACACCGGCGTGCTCCGGGTGCGCGGCTGCTGCTGGCGAGATGAAGTCTGGGCACCAGAATCTAGACGCGCGGATGCATCAAGAGAGGGGTGGGGGTGGGGGTTGGCGATGGTTCCAGTCTGACAGACACTGAACGCGTCAGCACGTGTGCGTTGGTGTAAAATCATTTGCTGATTTGAATCACGAGTCTATTTTTTTTTTTTGTCTTTACTCCTTTTGGCTTCCGATTCCATTTTTAAAATCTAAAAGCAAAATCCTCATCCAAATAAATCTGAAGTGATATTTTGTCAAATCGTTATCAATCCCCATCAGCCCTGATAGGGCCGCAGAAATWTATTAGAGGGAGGATGTGGGGGTGAGGGCACTGATTACCTTGTGGTKGCCAAATAAAAGAGTTTTATTAAGCTGCTTTCATTTGGCTATTTGAAATATAGAGCAATGTGGGTGTTACAGTAAGAAGTTCCACCTTTTACAGGTCTAATTTAGTTTCTTACTTTTTTAAATGGAGTGCTGTTTGTAAAACAAATTGTGCCAAAAATAACAGCGAGAATTTGTCACATTTCAAACAATATTTGAAAAAGCAGCGTAGATTTTTTTGAGTTCCCCTGTTAGCACATTTAGAGTTAAATTTCAACCATAAATCTAAATGCTAAATATAAATCTTAAATATTAAATCTATATGTTTCATTGAAACAAAATATTTAACTAATATCCAAATTCACCTAACAAGATGTACTAAAATAAAAGTGTGACTGTGTTCATATAATGTTTCCATAAATATATTTTTGTAGATATTTAATGTTACATAATGTATTGATTCCACCAGTAACATGCTTGATATGATGCTATTTGTATTCTACTATAAACACAGACAAGCTTTTATTTTGATATTTACTGTTACAGGCTGTGTAAGTTTGCATATAAAATAAATATTTAATTTCAGTGAAACATTTAGATGCAGCATTCAATTTTTACATTTAGCATTTAGCTTTAACATTTAATTTTTATATTTAGCATTTAACTTTAATATTTAACCATGTAAATGTGCTAAAAGATGACTTTAGAAAATCCACACTATGCTTTCAACCAATGTTTGAAGCTACAACCCCTGGCAAAAAGTATGGAATCACCAGTCTTGGATGAGCACTCATTCAGTCATTTCATTCYGTAAAACAAACTCAGATCAAAAACATGATACAATAATAAGGTCATTCCAAAGTGCAACTTGTTGGCTTTCAGGAACACTCAAAGAAATGAAGAGAAAACATTGTGGAAGTCAGTGAACGTTCCTTTTATTGACCAAGCACAGGGGGAAAATATGGAATCACTCAATTCTGAGGGAAAAAGTATGGAATCATGAAAAACAGATAAACTAAAGACCATTCAAAATACATCACTAGTATTTAGTTGCACCACCTTTGGCTTTTATAATGGCTTGCAGTCTCTGAGGCATGGACTTTAGTGACAAACAGTATTCTTCATCAATTTGGTGCCAACTCTCTTTGATAGCAGTTGCCAGATCAGCTTTGCAGGTCGGAGCCTTCTGGTGGACCTTTTTTTTTTTTCAATTTCTACCACAGGTTTTTAATTGGGTTGAGATCTGGACTATTTGCAGACCATGACATAGACTGAATGTATCTTCTCCAAGGAATGCCTTCACTGTTTTTGCCCTATGGCACGATGCATTGTCCTCTTGGAAAATTATTTCATCACCTCCAAACATCTGTTCAATTGAAGGGATGAGAAAACTGTCCAAAATGTCAATGGAAACTTGTATATTGATAGAAGAATGAACCACAGTCATCTCCCCAGTGCCTTTGCCTGACATGCAGCCCCATATCATCAAGGACTGTGGAAATTTGGTTGTTTTCTTCAGGCAGTCCTCTTCATAAATCTCACTGGAACGGCACCAAACAAAAGTTTCAGCATCATCACCTTGTCCAATGCAGATTCTTGACTCATCACTGAAGATCACTTTCATCCAGTCATCCACAGTCCATGATTGCCTCTCCTTAGCCCATTGCAGTCTTGTTCTTTTTTGTTTAGGTGCCGATGATGGTTTTCTTTCAGCTTTCCTGTATTGAAATCCCATTTCCTTTAGGTGATTTCTGATGTTTCGGTCACATACATTGGCTCCAGCTTCCTCTCATTTATGCTTCATCTGTTTAATTGCASTTTTTTGTTTTTCAAGACAAATGGCCTTAAGTTGTTTGTCTTGATGCTTTGATGTCTTTCTTGGTCTACCAGTGGCTTTAACAACCATACCATGCTGTTTGCATTTGGCCCATGTCTTGGATACAGCTGACTGTGAACAGCCCACATCTTTAGCAACCATGTGTGAAGAGTTACCTTCAAGAAGTTTCACAATCCTCTCTTTTGTTTCAAGAGACATTTCTCTTGTTGGAGCCATGGTTCTTGCCACTCCACTTCGTCCAGCAGCCCTCTAAGGTGTCATGACTGCAGGTGTTTTTAACTGCAGACTAACAAGCAGATCTAATCTGAGGCAGGTGTCCATTTAGGGAAAGGAAACTGACTAGGTGTGTCCTTATTTTCTACCTCCAATTTGAGTGATTTCATACTTTTTTCCTCAGAATTGAGTGATGCCATATTTTTTTCCCTGTGCTTGGTCAATAAAAGTAACATTCACTGACTTCCACAATGTTTTCTCTTCATTTCTTTGACTGTTCCTGAAAGCCAACAAGTTGCACTTTGGAATGACCTTATTATTGTATCATGTTATTAATCTGAGTTTGTTTTACAGAATGAAATGTCTGAATGAGTGCTCATCCAAGACTGGTGATTCCATACTTTTTGCCAGGGGTTGTAAATATGAAAAACTTACTCAGTTTATAAAGTGGCTTGTACTAAAAATAACAGCCATTAATTTTTTTTTTTTTTTGCAGAAATTAGGTATGGAGAACAATACAGGCAATTTTCCTTCATTTGGCACTTGTTTGGCTAGCCAGTAGCCTAACCTGGATGACAACTTTTAATAACTACGACACAGAGCATGACTGAAAAAATTACCACACTTCCTTTTTCAAAAAGATTACATAAACACATGTTGAAAAAGAAACACAAACTGTACCTGGAATTCAATGACTTAGATGTTATTCTGTCTCTGTTATTTGTTGATTCTTGCAAAGTAGCTCTTGAAGAAAAAAATAAAAATAAAAAACAGCCAAAAATCAAGCCCAGGATGCTGCAAATGATGCTTTACAAATAGAGGGTCTCTTCACATTCATAAGCTTCCACTGAAATTATCTAAAGGACCTTGCACGTGCGGACCCCAATGGCACATGCTCTTGTCAGCCAACAGTGATGACACTCGGATCTGAAGAATAAAACAAATCCCAAAACCACTTTTCTGTCTTATATAAAGGAGATGTTTTCAAGCAGATGGTGGGTATCTCCCAGCAAGCGCTCTCAGTGGAGAACTCTATGGGAAAATGTCCTGCACTTATCTCAACATAGTAACCTAAAAGTAGTGCTATTATTACTTCCAGCTGTTGTCCTATCAAAGATTTATAGTCCTATTTGTGTCCGAACTGGTAGGAGGATGGAGGATACTCAGAGAGGGGAACATGATAAAGGAAGATTAGAGAAACTGGGTTTTAAGTACTTGTTTATATTAGCATTGTGAATTGGGGTTCTGTGTAAAAGTTATGAAGAATAAGCAATCTGATGTCCCCCAACACTGAAGAATTTGACTAGTGAAGATTTGTAGTTTTTCGAATTAATGTTTTTCCAAACTAGAATTGAGCAGAAAATGCAAATAAACCTTAATGTTTTTAATACAAGATGTTCTTTGAGGCAACTCAGAGGGGCACATTCTGACAAGTGGAGAGAGCAGTTTTATCCACCACCAGGTGCAATAACGGAGCTGGGGGGTTGACCAGCACCCCACCAGCCACCCCAATCATTTGAGAAAACTATACTTTTTGCAATATTAAGAGTAGGATGTGCAGTTTACTCGAAGGATTGGAAGTCCCTTATTCAGCTCACAAGACRGAACAGAGACAGAGGGTATTTCCAAGCCCTGCCTTTGCTCTTCAATGGGGGACACTATGACTGGCATTTTTTGAAGGAATGCATATTTCTCACCTCCCTTTATGCCAAAGTTTAAAAAAACACATTTCATGATGAGGCTGGAACTACAATTTCTTTGGTCAAACTTTGTAAACGACATTATGCACAATCTCATGTGATAYTGAGAGATGTGTTRGTGTGTACAGAGGAGCAAGTGTGTTAGGGATCATTATCTACCAGAACCACACTAAAAGTTAGCTAAATATCTGCAAATTTGAATAAATGTATGTTGGTTATAGTTGATTAGCTGTGATGGCCATCTTGAATTGGGTTGACTCCAATAATAAACTAAATGTACATCCAGGCATCACTTCCCAAGTTTCATTAAAATCGATACCGTGGTTCATATACAAGAAAAAATATTTTGCTGAAAACACATACAAAAATAAGATCAGAATTTTTTCCCCAATATCTTACAAGTTGTAGATAACTCATATTTTAGAGTTCTTTTTTATATTGACACCAGCATGTCATCAATGACAGCAAATAAATTAAAAGAAACAACTTGATTTGACAAAAAACTAATTTTACAGAGATGTTTTTGAGGAATTCRTGAAAGAAATAGTCTGAAAAGAACATGAGAGGTTTGTATTTTCTGATAACATTTTCATTGTATGAGGTTTTTTATGCAGGCTCGTGAAGGGTAGGATTGCAGACAAATAGATGAGTCTTTAGGGTTGAACTGACTTTTTTTTTTTTTTTTACCCAAGAGGAGCATGAAAGCACTTTTCATCAGGGGTCAAGTTAGGTAAGCACACAARGAGATTTTGCAAGGAGAACACAAATGAGTAAATTAAAAGATAATTTTCTTGACAATACAAGTTTCTCAAAAAATCCCAGGGAGTAAATGCTGAGGCCAACAATCGACATATGACGTTCAGCGGGTCAGCAAAGTATGATGACTCAACTCAGCTTTTGTAACAGGTGATTACAT